AGAGCGTAACTGTGCGTGATCCATTGCTCACCGAGCAGTCCGGCGGAAGAAACTACGACGACGACGGTGGTCAAGAGCACCAGGATCGTGAACCTGACGGCCATCACGGTTGTCCCCGATGGTTTCTCTTCCGATGCAGATTACTCGAACTCCTCGAGCTCCTCGCGTTCGGTGTCGCTCGCGATACGGTTTACGATAAGCGCGGGAGGGCGTAAACGAGCGAAAAGTTCGGAAGAAACTCCGTGGAAAAAGGATTCACGCGCGTCGAAGAGGAGATCCTGCCCAGCAAGGAAGAAGCTTAAATCTGGGCACAAAGCCGGGCGCGGGTCTTGGATCGGTGATCGGCTGGCGGTCGGCACGAAAACTGGCGACAGGATTGGCCACGGCGACGATGAGGTGCCACGCCATTGGCCGAGGTGCGGAGGTAACAACGGGCAAAGAACCTCATCTGGGTGACCGGGTGACCTCCTTTGGCAACCTGGTACCAGGAGAACTTATGCGACTGTCCTATCTACCGATCCTCTGCTCCGGCCATCGGAGGGCCCCCCCCCCCCCCNTCCGACAAAAAATCGGTGCTCTTCTTTTTCAATAGCCACGATATACCGTTTAGATCACGCAATAATGCAAAAACAATCTTTTTTTTCTTCCTCTTCTTCCTCTTCTTTTTTTTTTGTCTTTCAGAATTTTTATCGCGCAGTTTACGATTCCTTTTCGTATGGGGAAGGGGAGGGGGAATTCTCGTCGATATATTCAATAAAGAATGAAAAATGGAAATTCGTGGACACGTTGTTTCGATAAATCTTGATTTTTTGACAGATCGTTATGGAAGAAGATCTGGATATAGTCTTTTCTCTCCCTGTCCTTGTAACCTGGATCGCAACGAACGTAATAATAGCGTGGATACGAGAGGAACGTCTTCTCACGGACGAATCTCTAGTTAGTTGTATATTTTCATTCGGTTATCTCTTCGATCCAAGCATGTTTTCCGGCTTTCTCTGATCGATCGTGCCTAATAAATAAAAAAGACATTAAACGAAAGGGGAAGGAAAAGCGTACGCTTGGTTGACCACAACAACCAAGGAGTCATCGTCGTTCCGCTTCGACACTTCGCGAAACTTCTATTACTTTGCGACAATTGCAATATTCTTTGTATCTCGGAAATATTATATAATTTGCCTAGATCGTTATTTTTTTTTTTACGTCTCGAAAGAACAACTCGAAAGAAAAGATGGACGAGAATTTCCTTCTTTGTTTACCAATTGGCTTCCCCTCCCCTCCCAATTGGGATATTACGATTTCGAGGCAAGGGCCCGGCAGATTCGAGCAGATTATCCTGTGACGTTACGTAAAAACTCGTTTCCCTTGATGACCCACATCCCCTCGTCGTTCATCTCTCCCGTTTAGAAGGCCGGAGAGGACCAGGCGCGCGTTATCTTAAAATACACCGAGGCGAGAGTCGGTCGGTGTGCATCCCCGGACAATAATTATCCAACCTTCCTCCGATACCTCGACACTCCGAATTCCATTGTGATACCTTCGCTTCGTTGGACAAGTATTAACCAAGGTAAACCACTCCTGACCACTACTTTCTTCGACCCACTAACCGGAGAAAGGCCCCATCTCCGAAACAAACGCCAAAACACGCTTGCGCCTGATCATTATCCTACCAACCAATGTTTATCATCGCGTGTTCGTTTCGCTGATAATTGAAAAATATCACGGCTCCATTCCTCCTCGATTCCAACCGAAATATATATATATATAT